CATGTCATCGATCCGTGGGCTTTGAGCTTTTGCGATAAATGCCCGAATATTCATTCAACATGTAACTTACCAAATACGATCAAAGAAAGTGATAAACGAGCAGCGATGATTCAAGAAAAATACCTATTCATTAGGATTACATAATGTAAGCGAACATATGTTTTCAGTGCATTCCTTTTCAAGCGTTTACAATCACACTTATATAAAAAATTTCAATAGGATCAAACAGAAAAATGCATAAGTCGTGTGTGTTGGTAATGACTGTGAGAGAACTCCAAATATGTACGCCTTTTGGATAACGTAACCAAAAGTCGCTGTGTTATGTCATGGTCACATGAGCCGGCGATTTTCTCTTCCCTTGATCAGGGGAGTTTGAGACCTTCAATCCATTGTCCTTGTGTACACACAGCTCAGGTTTCATGAGTCGGATGTTAATCGTCTCTGCGGTTGCTAATGTCCGAAATCGTATTACTGTCGAGTGGTGTGGTGTGACTCGACGAATGATTTTAAATGCGGAGCGCATGTCAACCACGTGTTTGGTCTCTACCAGATGAGCAACGATNGTGTGACTCGACGAATGATTTTAAATGCGGAGCGCATGTCAACCACGTGTTTGGTCTCTACCAGATGAGCAACGATCGAGGCTTCATATCTTCCTGTCTGTTTCAAAATCTCAAAGCAATTGGCTCCAACGTGCCCCGCATATATGGTCTACCCGAAATGCATAGAAATGGAATACCAATGGGTCTCATCATGATCTATCTCTATAGCGAATTCATCTCACCACACGGCTGCTCGGTGGTTGACTAGACTTTTGGAACCCATAAATCAACGAATCACCAAGGGTACATTTAGATATACGTTTCAGTTTGTTAAATTAACCAAAAATGTGAACAATAACAACCAACTGACTTTCTCTTTAGATACTGTTTCTCTCTCACAAATGTTCCCCTGATAGAAACAGTTGATTTTATTTATGAATTTATCAACATGGAAACCATATCCGTGGGTATTCTTGTCCCAACTCTCAAAGTAATCATACGTAAATGCACACGAAATATACCATTGTTGTTTATTAATACATTCACACCCCAGATCTGATCTCGATGACATCTTCATTGCCAAGCTAGAGACAACTTTCTTATATACGGCTATTAGTTGTTTTGAACAACATCACTGTTATGTAGATGATTTCTTTTGCGTGGCTAACAAGAACACTAATCTCGCCCACCTTTAGTCAGAATTCGAAACAGCACATTCGTCAGTTAAGTTCACAACTGAACCAGAGGAGAATGATTGCCTTCCAATTTTGAATGTTCCGCTGTCTAGACACCCCGATGGATCTATTTGAAGAAAAATGTCACATGGAGTGAACAGTACACAAATTTTCATAGGTTCATCCCCCTCTGTCAAAAAAAAACACGTAACCTCGCACACTGTCTGTTGCAGAGGGCAAGGCGCATCTGTTCAGAAGATACGTTGATGAACGAACTTGAACTCGTGAGGAGAATTGTACTGGAAAATGGCTATCCTGAGACATTCATCGACTGCAATCGGATTGAATAAAATAAACCAACAAAAATACCAAAAACGGAGAAGAAAATGTTTTGTATAAAACTTCTATGTTGCCGCCGAGAGGATGAGTTTTATCCGTCGAAGTGAAATTCATATTTAATGCCAATCCACTAAAATGCATGTTTATTGCGAATGTTCAAATGCGAATAATACAGCGATGTCGATTGAGAATTGTGTTTACCAAATTTTCAGTTACTGTGACTAAACTTTCTCAAGGCAGGTTTTACTACAATCAAATGACTCAGAGAAAAGGAACACAAGTAAACAGATGTTTGATAGTTGATTGTAGTAAAACCTGCCTTGCGAAAGGTTACCCACGGTAACCGAACCGTCGGCGAATGCGATTCTCTAAAGACATCGCTGTGCTAGTACGATTTTATCAGTAACATTATACACGACTCATGGTGGATCGATTTTGAGAAACAATCCTAACATCCTTTAGTCGTGACATTTTATAAATAAGATGCGTATTCGTCACATCACCGAACCTCCGAAGCAACATCAAAGATAAGCTGCCTATGTGTGGCCTCATCTACAGTTGTTTATCTAATCAAGTGCACATGTGGTGCGAATTATGTAAGTTAAACGATAATACAGTTTTCTCAACGTATCAAACAATACAGTCAAACACAATCGTTGCTCATCTGGTAGAGACCAAACACGTGGTTGACATGCGCTCCGCATTTAAAATCATTCGTCGAGTCACACCACACCACTCGACAGTAATACGATTTCGGACATTAGCAACCGCAGAGACGATTAACATCCGACTCATGAAACCTGAGCTGTGTGTACACAAGGACAATGGATTGAAGGTCTCAAACTCCCCTGATCAAGGGAAGAGAAAATCGCCGGCTCATGTGACCATGACATAACACAGCGACTTTTGGTTACGTTATCCAAAAGGCGTACATATTTGGAGTTCTCTCACAGTCATTACCAACACACACGACTTATGCATTTTTCTGTTTGATCCTATTGAAAGTGCGATAATAAAGACTCGAAACTGAAAACATATGTTCGCTTGCATTGTGTGTTCTTGAACATAGATGAACCCACTTAATAACTGTATTAGCCGTAGGAGAGAGTTGTTAAAAATAATCTTTGTTTGTCACAATGTTTATCTAATAGCACAATTGAGAAAACTGAATTTGTGTCTTTCGTTCACTGAACTAATCACTATTTTCACAGACCTCACGATATCGGGAGGCCGTGGTTGCTTATCATCAGTACAATTTCGATTGCGTAAACGATTCGGAATCCACGTATTCGTTCCGAGTCTTACTTTGATGCATTACGTTTTTCGTCCATCTCAACACACACACACACAGAATGCTCACCACCGGACCTGAATGAATTGTTCGATAGCAGTAAGTTTTTCCGCATATTAGTAATAATAATGAAACATAAAACGGATACTCCAGTTTTTATTTCTTTATTGTTCACCAAAATTACAAATATTACCCCAACTTCCACTAAGGTGGTTTTGTTCAAACCGAGGTTAGCTGGGCAAGTACAGAAATCGGGAAGATGAAGAGAGAACGTTGAAGGGATTCGAACACATGACCTGTGAGCTGCTGTTACCATTCTGACGTAATTCGCTTGACTGTGGTGTGTCAACCTTTTTGATGACGCTGGTCAAGTGCCTACGTGTTCCAGATTTTAGACTTTGGGCCGTGGATCAATAGTATCGATCAATCAACAGTCATTCAGTTTAAAGATAAGTCGTGTGACTCGACGACCGAGAACGGTGATTGGCTGATATTTCTTAGACCAATGATATTTCTATTTGTATATTTTTCGATACCATGGATTCCTTTCAATAAATGAAACTCTATTTCTGCTGCCTTTTTGTCTACATCTCGGTGACGAGAAATTCCAGCGAACGATTATGCGCTTCAGTGGCGACCGCGATTCATGATCTGTAATCCGTACCATGCTTTGACCATTACTCACTATCCTGACTATTTGAAATTCATCATTTAAATTATTGGTGTAACTGTATTTAGGCGAGAACTGACTTTGTTTCATCGATAGATATTGTAATTATTAGTAATTTATTCAAACAATTCGTTTATGCGGATATTGAGCCCACAGATTGGCAATAAAGTGATATCAGGTCCATGCACTTCTTAAGTTTAATAGTATTTTTTATTCATACTTTTAGATGCAATACTCCTCTCGTTTTTGAGAATTCTTTCTATTATAGTTATTCAATGAACAATCTGTGACAGTCAGAGATTGGAAAGAGTGCTCGTAGAAAACAGTGATAATTTCATGATTCACTTAGGTGAACACTCGTTTGTGTTCCTTTCAGTGCCGTTTATGCGCAGAACTTCCAGAAAAGAAGAGAGACGGAGCTATTTGGCAAGTAAGTCCTGCTGCATGGTCTAACATTGTCTGATGTATCATTGCTGCCTTATTCCTGGCCGAGGCAAACCGAGCCACCATTCAGGATCGTAAAGCACTGTTTCCCCCAACTGCCCTCAATGAGAGAAGTAGAAATAAAATAGGTTGGCAAGTGGAAACGACTGTTCGAGCTATATTTGTGCACGTGTGCTATGAATGCGTTCTCAACGCGCTGTCCGTTCTGATTTGGTATGGAGCACAGGACTACATTTTACGCAACAATTCTTTCTTATGTGATCAACGCCTGAACAGAATGTACGTCCAGACTGTTTTGGACGACAAAAAGTTTCGTGAGATGTGGAATAACTTGCGGGAACTCTGTGGCTCACGTATCAGTTCTTTTCCCAACGTTGAGGTACTTAACCGTCAATTGGCTTCTGTACCTGCATCTAGCTCCCTCCCACCTCCTTTTCTTGCCCATGATGCAATTAACCCTGTTTCTCCGGACGAGGTCCTCCAAGTTTTGAGAAGAATCAAGGCCAATAAAGCTCATGGTCCCGATGAATTAGCACCTCATTTGTTGAAAGCCTGTGCCGACCAGCTTGCGACACCCATTGCTGAATTGTTCACTACTTGGTGTCATCTGGAACGATCCTCGATTGTTGATCAGCCCGGATCAGACCGATCCCAAAGAAAGGATCGTCATCGTACCTATCCTATTGCCTACACATCTGCGTTGCTGAAGGATTTTGAAAATGTTTTGCCGCACCGCATGATACCCCAGTGTAACTCCCATGATCCTTTACAATTTGCTTATCAATCCCATTTATCCACACTTGACGCCGTTGCTCATATTGTTCATTTTGTTGCTTCCGTCTTAGACAATGGCGCTGGTAGCACTTGTTTAACTTTTCTTGACCATACAAACGCTTTTGGTTCTCTCGACCAAAGTGTGCTTATTGATCGTCTTTTTGAGTGTGGTATAACTCATGAAGTTTTAAATGTACTTATCAACTACCCCTTCCTCAGTACTCAGTTTAATTCACTCAATAGTGTGCAATCCTCTACCATTAACCTTGAAGCCGGTGTTTTTCAGGGTGCCATTTTGTTCCCTTTCTTGGTTTTTACGTATATAAAAAATCTCCCCATTCCCACCAATTTTATTGCATGTAAATATGCTGATGATATTGTGATTGGTTGCCCAGCCCCTATTCCAGACAGTTTTCGACCTCTGCAGGACAGTCTTAATGAACTTCACGATTGGTCTGTGACCCGATCCCTTGTACCAGTGTCTGCATTGAAGTTTCATTTAGTCTCAAAACCGGTCCCCATTAGTTAAGGATCTCCATGATCTTAGAGTTACCAATAAAAGTATTCCCAAATCTGCATCCGTTAAATACCTTGGTGTCACCCTTACCCATAACCTTTCCTGGTCTGCTCATGTCATCAACGTTTCCACTAAACCTCGAAAACTGTCCTATGCTTACAGGCTAAGGAAACTGGCCGTACCACATAACGTTATTCTTAAATTTGTGATTGCCTGCATTCTTCCACACTGGCTATACTGCTCCCCGATCTTTATCCCTGGACTGAAAGAAAAACACCTCCCTTTATTTTCAAGATCCCTTAAACTTTTGTTCCGCTACAGTGGAATTGATAAAGTTGTTTTAGTTGATTTCTTAATTTCCAATCATCTTGACGCTTTTGATACATTCATTGATAGGATAACACGTGATCAAAAGCACTGTATGCACCAAGATATCGCGAAAGCCCTGTCAAGCAGCAGCTAAACGAACTCCAAATATCAACTGCTGCCCGCGCGGACTTCCACACATGGAAAAAGTGTAATTCCATAGCTAGTTTATTTATTAGTAAATCATCGGAATATTCTCACCCACCTCAGGTAGAATCTCTTGCCTTAATTTTTCTCCCATTTATTACAGTGTACAATTTCTTATATTGTCTTTTTTATTTGCAATTGTTCTAATCAGCCACTGTAAGAATCGTAAACCGCTGAAAATTCACCCTTCGGGTGCATAAAGCTTCTCTTGCAGCAATTCGCAGTCGAACTAGGAAATGGATAATGCAAAGGGACTTTCACTGGAGGGAGTTCAAACGCTGTCCATGCCCCAGTACTTGGGAAGCTTACAGGCTCTTTCGAAACCATTGTACAAATTTGGTGCGGGAAGACAAGCACAATTATCGTGATACCCTGGTAAGGAAGTTTATCGAAAAACCTAGGCTACTATATAAGCATGTAAACGATTCCCGGAAAGTCAAACACGGCGACAATCAAGGAGGCTGCAGAAATGCTTAGACTACAGTACTCTCACGTGATCAATATCCCTAGTAACACTGGGTTCGTACTTCCCCGTTTGCTGGAACATATTTCTTACCCATTAATGACACACATTAGCTTGTCTCCCGAAAGGATAAAGGCAAAGCTCCTGGCTTTGGAGAACTCATCACCGGGTTTAGATAACATTCATCCATAAACCCGTATCACCCAGGCAAGTCACATAGCCGATCCTTTAAATGGGGTAAACCAAAAACTGTTTGAAGATGCCGTGCTTCCTCAGGTGTGGAAAAACGGTGTCATTTCATCAATTTACAAAGGTGGAT